CCAGCCATCTGTGTAGATGGGACCTTCCACAAATATGTCTTCACTCCTGATGGAAACTGCAACAGAGAGGCTTTCGATGTGTACCTTGACATCTGTGATGATGATGACTTTTAAGGACCCCGTGGGTTGTGCTAGGGACCTGCAGTGGCAAAGTGCAAAGCATTTATGGGAGTGGGAGTGCTGAAAGCCACCAGCCAGCAAGCACTAATGGGGCAGGTGCACACTTTCCACTCCTCAGAGCAATGCCTAAACAGCTCATTTCTCCCAAGTACTTCTTGTGTCCTTAAGGACTGTGTGCCCACAGGGCCAGGCCAGGGACCCAGAGGGGCAGCAGATGCCCTGGGGCTCCCAACCTGGAGAAGAGTACTAGGGCCCCAGAGGAAGTGCCCTAATCCAACCTGTGGGGATAAAAAAAAATTTCCCAGAAAAGAGCCAATCACTGATATGATGAATTTGAATAAAAATTAATAGTATTTATGGCTGGACCTCGGGGCTGGGGCCTGGAGTAGGTGAGGCTGAAAAGGCACTGCAGGAGTGTCCAGGAAAGGTGTGACCTACTTGGACAGGAAGGAGGTGGGATCCTGCTCCGGTCCTTCTGACAGTCCCTGCCATCATCTCTGCTTAGTCCGGATGTCTGGCTACTGTTGTGCTGCCAGCGCCACCCGGAACAGGGCCCCTTGGCGCCCCCACCTGGGAGTGGATGGGAATGCCACGCTCCGCTGCCTATATTTAGTTTCATGGCAGTTCCGGTACTGGCGTTTGTATTTCCCATCACGTGTTTTGCGCCTGCGTCGTCCACCTGAGTGGATAGGGTAGCAGAAGCCCCGCCCAGACTCCATTTCCCGGTGTTCGCCGCGGTGGCGCGGGGTGTAACGGGTGTTGTAGTTCGGCTGCTCTTCTGGCTGGTCCAGCTACATCGACTAGCAGGATGTCGGAGGTGCGGCTGCCACCGTTACGCGCCCTGGATGACTTCGTTTTGGGGTCGGCGCGCCTAGCGGCCCCGGATCCTTGCGACCCGCAGCGATGGTGCCACCGTGTCATCAACAACCTTCTCTACTACCAAACCAACTACCTTGTCTGCTTCGGCTTCGGTCTTGCCCTGGCTGGGTGAGGGAGGGCGGGAGGGAGGCGCCAGTTGGCCGGGGACGCCTGCAGGGCGTGGAGGGTGGGCCCGCGGGATTCTGAGAACCGGGAAGGGTAGGTAACCTGGGGTGGGGGGCTGCAAGGCACGGAAGGGCAAATTCAGCAGAGATAGAAAGCCTGAGGGCCTTGGGAGTGGGGACTTGGAGGGAGTGGGACCTAGTTATAAGGAGGCCCTGGGGCTGGATACAGCCTAGCCGAGGGGGTTAGTGGGACTGGAAGGAAGACCTGGGGAGAACTGAAGGGGAAACGGCTGGAAGGTGGACCTGAAGATAATGAGAACTTGAAAGTGGGACGTGAGTGTGTCTGGGATGGTGGGGCGATGTGAGTAATGGGGCTGGAGGCCGTAGGGCAGGGACAGGGATGTCCCTGTGGTCATCCTTGTAGGAGGAGGTACTTGGGGAACTTGGGCCAAGAGAGAGGATCCAGGGACTGAAGGCCTGCGACCCGACAGGGTTGGAGAGCCTGGAGGAGGGACTTGGGTGGGGATGTAAGATGAGAGTAGGACCTAAATCTGGGAAGAGGGAAATGTGTAGACACAGAAGGCCTGGAAAAAATCTGCAAGGGTTGTGCTCCAAGGGTGGGTTTGGGGGCAGGATGGGGTGGTGTACTGGAGGGAGGGGGCTGTAGGGACAGAAGGAAGGAGTCTATCTGGATGGGAACACCTGGAGCTCAAAAAGATGGGGCTGTAGGATTGAAAAGAAAGGGTCCAGGGCTCCTGGGAGTCGGAAGTCCTGGAGGGTGGACTTAGAGACAGGGCTGGCAGAGTATTTCTCCGGCTTGCAGGGTCCGGAAGGGGGGGACCAAAGCTCTAAGGGCCTGGGATCTGGTGCACGGTGGTCTGGGAAGCTTGGAGGCCGGGCGGCCCTCTCCCAACTGGCTGACTAGCTTAGTTCTATTGTCCCCGCAGGTACGTGCGCCCGCTGCACACTCTCCTAAGCGCGCTGGTAGTGGCAGTGGCCCTCGGGGTGCTGGT